TCACTCCTTGGAAACCCTATACAGGGTTGCTGTGGGTCAGAACCGATTCGACGGCACTTGACAACAACAACAACAGACCCCTGGTGTGGCGCTGTAGGTTGAGTTCATGTGAGCCACACTGGGCACATTGTAGCCCCATTTTAGGTACAAACTCACCAGCTGCTCCGTGGAAACCCTGTATATGGTTGCTATGAGTTGGAACCAACACACCGGCACGGCACTTAACAACATAGGTAACTCATATGGATTCTTGGTGTGGTGCTGTAGGATAAGCACTGGATGCTAACTGCAAGGTCAACAGTTCAAACCCATCAACTGCTCCTTGGAAATCCTATACAACGGTGTTGCTATGAGTTGGAACCAACTTGACGGCGCTTCACAACAACATATATAACTCATAAAGCTGTTGACGGTTACTGTGGAGCCCTCATTGCTATGGGTCAGTAGGACTGTGCTCCACAGAGTTTCAAAGCTTTCACCTTTCAGAAGCAGAATGCCAGCCCTGTCTTCTGAGGTGCCTCTCTGTGGGTTCGAACGACCAACCTTTCAGCTAGTAGTGGAATGTTTCATCAGAGACTCCCATTGATAACTCATAATTGTTGTCGTTGTTCTGTGTCGTGGAGTCAGTTCCGACTCATAGCGACCCTGTACAGGGTTTCGGAGGCTGTAAATCTTTACTGGAGCAGAAAGCCTCATCTTTCTCTCGTGGAACAGCTGGTAGTTTTGAACTGCTGACCATGAGATTAGCAGCCCGATTCGTAACCACTACGCTACCAGAGCGCCTTGATAATTCACAATACGTGGAGTTTAATCTTTGGACAACAAAGAGTTGACCATTTAACAGCTTTAAACATAAAGTATCTAACCAAATAGACAATATTATTACACCTTCTAAGTATGCTTTTTCCCAAGTATGTGTCAACGTGCCACTGGAAGAGAACTTGACACCAATGTAAATGGCAGTCCACCCACTGCTGTCCCCTTGCTTCCTGCCCACAGAAATCCTGTAGGACAGAGCAGAACTGTTTCTTATGGTTTCCAAGATGATGAACCTTTATGGGAAAAGACAACTTCATCTTTCTCTCGTGAGTGACTGGTGGGTTTGAACTGCACCTGTCACCATAGCAAGAGCTATCACAAATAGATTCCCTTGCCCAGACACATAGGAAACATGACAATGCTAGCTTACAAAGCTTAGTGTTAACCAGTGGGATCAAGGGTTCACCTCCTCCTGGTATTAACAGTCTCTATAAAACCCTGGGGACTCCTGATGTGGCGCTGTAGGATCAGCACTGGACTGTAAACCACCAAGTCGGCAGTTCAAACCCATCAGCTGCTCCTCAGAAGCCCTATACAGGGGTGTTATGAGTTGGAACTGACTTGACAGACTTAACAGCAACATGAAGATCCCTGGGGGCGCTGTAGGATAAGCACTGGACTGCTAACTGAAAGGCTGACAGTTCAAATCCACCTGCTGCTCTGAGGAGAAAGATGAGGCAGGCTTACTGTTTCCAGAACGATTTATAGCCTCAGAAACCCTATACAAGGTCATGATGACTTGGAATCAACTTGATGGCAGTGGATTTATTTTGAATAAAACAAGTACATGATCTTGCCACGACAATCTCAGTATTGTCTTCAGGTCATTTTCCTTTTTGCAGGTTTAAAGGTAGAAGAATTCTCATGACTACAGGTCAAACTTTGAAGAGAACCTTGCTCAGGAAAGAATGAAGCATGCCATCTTTAATACAGAGGAGTAAAATCAGTGTCTCTAATGGATGCTTCAGATACATACGGCATAAAATGATCATTTTGCAGGGCGGGAGATTTCTCCCATGTGAAACATCACAAACAATGGGTAATCAAAGGCACCCTTGGCTTCAGAGACTATCAAGGGGGTGGGGAGACCCACTGACAAGGTGGTCTGCATGCTGCAACAGGCTCTAAAATGTGGGAGCAACTAGACCTGGTTGGGTGATTTCTAGGCGGATATTTGACCAGGGGCCTGTAAACCCCGCTAGAGAGTGCGATAAAGATGCTCGGGAGTTTCAGCAGCTGAATAGGGCGTTCCTCCTTCTGCACAACACCGAGAGCAAACTCCTGGCAAAGTGGCAAGGCCCACACGAAGAAGTCTGGAGACTCGGTCCATTCGGTTACGATGTCCTGTGCCCAGATAAACAAGAGAGAGAAAAGGGGGCATCACGTCAACCAGGTGAAAGCCAAATGGGCACAGGAAGTGGTCTCCATGCCCCCAGATGGAAGAAGTGTAGGGCCCCAGAGAAGGCAGGCCCTGAGCAAGGAGCTCCTCATTGGTGGGAGAATGCCGATAGCAGCCCACCGTGTCAGGAAAGGACCCAGACACAAAGCTGGGAACAGATCCCGCGGGATCCCAAGAAAACACCAGGAAGTAAAACAGAAATGAGAACTAAAATGGAGAACAAATCAACGCAAGCCCCAAACTGAAACCACGTCACACTTAACCAGGGCATGAAAAAGACAAGGTAAACTGTTCAAGGTAAATTGTACCACCTCCTGATTCCATCTCGAGAGGACATGCGTCTATCAAGGTTGGAGCTCTTGCTTTTCACAGTGGACGATTCACATCAAGACACCAGGCCCAGGCAAAATTCACTGCCACCAGAAACATCAGTATCATCATTTCTCTTGTTCTGAGAAGAGCTCTGTGAATTCTGGCCCCAGCCCAGATTCACTCAGTGGTTTCAACTGTCAATTTGCTCACACACAATTGTTTCCAATTGCCTTCTAGGTCAGAAAAAACTGCCCTTTTACATCTGGGGACTCAGTTGCTTTCACTAACAACAAACCAGTTCATAACACCAAATGGACACAGATCATGTTAAGCCAACTTCTCAGGAAGAAAATATATGTGTCCTATTCTGTCTCAAATTCATACAAAAATTGCTTTAAAGCTTATTTAAAAAACAACAACAACAACAACAACACAAAAACCTCAAAGAAGAGGCTGTGAAATCTTTGACGTATCAAATCTAGGATTTTAACGTATCAAATCTAGGATTTTAACTTCTCAGAAAAATCAGCATTCAACGGCCCACAGAGCACAGTTCTCCCTTTGCATCACTCAACCTGACAGCAGCTGGTGTGGTTCTTGTTTTTTTACTGTCTTCTGTTTGGATTTAGCTCTAAAAAGATTACAGCTTTACATCAATCACAAACATTCCAGAATGAAGAAAAGCAAAACAAAACAAAAAACACCCTGTGGATTCCTATCTTAAAACTTTCAGATTTAGTTATCCTTAGGTTTCCATGGAGATGAAGAAATTCCCTCCCCAAGGTGGGGCATCAGTGGTGTGAACCTGGTCATCCAGAGACTGTATCCTCACCTGTCCTCAGACTGAGCCATCTGGTTTTTAGGTTCAGTTGGAGGATTAATGCCAGTCACTAGACATTAAAGTGGTCCTTTTGCAAGGAAACCTGGGGTTGCTTTATGAAGCCACACTGCTTTCAAAGGCAGATTTGTGGACCACCGAGCAAAACACAGCTCCTCAGGGGAGAGTGGTGGCCCTTGAGTCTTTCCACTGTGGTCACTGTTAACGTTGGTCCCTCAGGACCCCCTAAGGTAGCCACAAGAGAAGATCTCAAAGCAGGAACTTCTCATTCCCTCCACCCTAACCTTTCTCCTATCACACCCCAGATCTTGGTTTACTTCTTCCCAGAAAAGATGTTGAACCCACACTACGACATTTCTTTACAGAATGTTATACAAAAAGCCAACGAGATGGCAGGCTTTACAAAAGCCATTTAAACAAATCAAATTGTAACCAAAGTTAAAAGGAGAACACAAATACATGAGCTCTAGAGTCCTGGTGTGGCGCTGTGGGTTAATGTGTTGGATTGAAAAAGTGGTGTGAACTGCAAGGTCGGTGGTTCAGGCTCACCAGCTGCACCTTGGAAACCCTATACAGGGTCACTATGAGTTGGAACTGACTTGACAGCATTTTAACAACAATGACAACAACAAGTGTGAACAGTTAAAAAAAGTGCCAGAAAGACTTTTTTATGTGTGTTATTTGTAATGGTGGTGGTGGTGTGCCGTGGAGTCGGTTCCGACTCATAGCGATCCTACATAGTGTTTCTGAGGCTATATATTTTACGGGAGAAGAAAACCTCATCTTTTTCCTACAGAACGTCTGGTAGTTTCAAACTGCTGACCTTGAGGTTAGCAGCCTGACTCGTAACCACTATGCTGCCAGAGTTCCTTGCCATTTAGAATAAGTAGGTATTTTTGTTGGGAATTCTGCAGCCAAGTGCAGCCCTATCTCATACGATTCTAAACCCTAAAAGCTTACATGTCCTCTTTCTCCTCACCAATTACTGAAACACGGGTTAAAACTGAGTACAGTTTTCCATAATTTGTTGTTGTTGTTAAGTGCCGTCGAGTCGATTTCGACCCATAGCGACCCTGTATAGGGTTTCCGAGGAGTAGCTGGTGAGCTTGAACCACCAACCTTGCAGTTCAACTGACTTTGCAGTCTGGTATATTAGCCCACAGTGCCACACCAGGACTCCTTCCACACTTAGTTGTTTTTGTTATCATGTGCCGTGGAGTCGGTTCTGACTCACAGCGACCCTGTACAGGATTTCTGAGGCTGTAAATCTTTTCAGGAGCAGAACGCCTCATCTTTCTCCCACGGAACAGCTGGTAGTTTCAAACTGCTGACCTTGTGGTTCGCAGCCCGATTCATAACCACTATGCTACCAGAGCTCCTTTTCCATAATTTAAAACCGGAATCCTATGGTGACACTGTTACAGGCCCAACAAGACCCAGCGACACGCCCTTCATTTGGTTCACTGGAAGTAAAGTAAGAGAAGATAAGCAATGCTTGTCAGTGACCTCTGAGATCATACCGTTTGACTGCAAGGTCAAACATGTGACATGCATAGGTGTGAGGCCCTTTAGGGTCCGACACCTGTGCTCACAGCTTACTATCGAGAAGGAAAGAAAGCATGGTAAACATACCAATGGCAGCCCCTCCTTGCTTCTTCTCTTCTAAGATGGCAGCTAGGTCTTTGTGGCTCAAGCTGTGCTGCTGGCTGGCCGCCGGTGGCTGCTCCAGCTCTGGACTTTTCACTTTTAAAAGTTGGTTTGCCTTCTTGATCTTCTGGCTATATTGCCTAGCCATCAAGAACACCCTGCTTTTTGTTTTGTCTGTGGTCTCTGTGCCAGGCTCGAGGATTTCTGGGTCTGTTGGGGACAGACTGCTGGTGGCCAGGTCATAGGGGTTTTCCATAGCGGGCAGCTCGCTGGCCAGGGAGAGCCGGTTCAGACTCATAAAGGAGCTGTCGTTAGAAATCAGGTCTTCCTCCAGCGGGTGGTTGGTTCGGCCAGCTCTGCTGGTCCTGTTCTTCACAGGGGTGAGGTGGAAAGTTGGGCTCTCTGCGAATGACAGGGTGGACGTGGACCGGACCGAGTCCTGGCCCGGCTCAGGCGTGCTGCCCACGTGCGGCCTCTCTGGCATGTCGTCCTGGCTCACGGGGAACGCAGCGAGGAGACGCTCTCTGGTTTTGTCTTCGTTCTTCTTGATGTAATTCTCAAGATCATTCCAGATTTCATCTACTTCTTCTGACAGCTTGTCAGATATGGACTTATCTGCTGTGGCCAAATGACAGCTGGGGGAGTTATACAGCAGACTGAGGTAGTGGTTCTCGGAGGGAGCCTGGTGGAAGGGCGATTCGTCCTCGCTGAACTGGAGGCTGTCTTGAGACATGAATGGTCTCAGGCTGTCACAGCAGACAAAGTCAGCCTCCAGACCTAAGAAGGTGCTCCTCTTGGGCCGTTTGAGGCTGCTGCACTTAAAATCCAGCGGTGGAGGCTCAGGGAGCCCGATAGTGTCATAGATGTTCTCCTCCACCACCTTGAGGTCATAGGTGCTTGGGGTGGATACCTTTCTACCGCTCTGAGCCCCATCTCTTCTCACACGAGGAGTGCTCTTTTCTGGGCCAGTTGGCTGCTTTGAGAAGGTTAGCTCCAAGCTGCTTTTGGGGCGAACAGAGTCTCTGGCTGTTTTTGGGGGAGTGGATTCAGTTTCTTCTCGCTGAGCGACCATTAGTTTCAAGTCCTCGTAACTTATATTATCATAGACGTGGTCTATGTCATCAATGGTCAGCTCCACAGAGGACTCAAACGGAGGCACTCCGTCCTGCCCATTGGCGGCTGGGCCGTTCTGCAGTGCCCTTTGGGGGCTGTACTGAGAGCCAGGACCGTCTCTGAGTCTTACTTCGGGGGTGCAGGTGTTGCTCTCCCCAGCACTGCTGGCCCTCCTCACCACCCTGTGGCTGGAGCCGGAGGCCTCTGTACACGGAATCTGCCCCATGTGCCAGCTGCAAGGGCGACTGGAAGCAGTCTCCTCACTCAGTCTGCTGGAGTTCAAGTCTGAGGAGGAGAAGGACGGCACGAACATCTGATAGTCGTCCTCGTCCTCATTCTCCTGTGGGGACCGCCGGCTGGGGAACAAGGCTTGCCTGATCTGAAGGTCGGTCCAGATGTTCCTCACGGCCCCGGCTCCGCTCAGCATGCTGAGGAGGGTGGAGCTGCTCGGCTGACTTTTCCTTGGGGTGGGAGGAGGCCCTGCTGAAGTCAGCTGGGGAGACCCTTCCTCTCGGGAAGCCTGAGGAGGTCAGAGACATAGAGGAGCTGAGTACAACATCATGGAGCCGTTCTCCTGTATTCACACACGGTCTCTGCCCTACACTGTAACAGACTTAACTAAAATGGCTGTTTTTAATTCACTTGTAAAGCACTTCTATTATTTGTTAAAGGGGTAGAAAAGAGAATAACTAATATTTATTTACAAACTAAGCTAGGTCATTTCTCCAAACATACTGTGTACAGCCATCCCATATATTCAACATGACAGGGTCAGTTTCATAGCAAGGAAACTTGCTCCACACAGTTGGCTAAGGTTAGGACTTAGCCCAGGTCCTGCCCAATGCAGAGACTCAGCTGAGTTCAGAAAGCTCTTAGATACTTCACATAAGTATCTTAAGATACTTGACAAATACTCATTAAAGAAATGAACGTATATAGGGCTTAAAGGTCATGGTGTCCTATTAACGACTTTCTCAGAAGCCTCAAACCCAGGGCTTCACTCCTAGGGCCTTCAGTATACCAGAGGTTCTTGTCAGAGACCTAACTCCATACCCCATTCCGCGGGGTTCCTTAAACCTGCAGATCTACCAGGAACCTGACCAGCGGGACGAGTCCCCTTGGTTCATAGATTCTAGGCAAAGAGCCTTTTGTTTCAGGAAATGTAATTTTATCCACTAATGAAAATTTTACTTTCCTTCACAATACAGTTAATTAAGTAGTATTTAGTTGTCTGTTAGAAAGTCAAGTATGAGTGTCATGAACTATTTCTAATCAGAGAAAACAATGGGGTCCTTTATAAGTTGGAGCCTTCCTAGCAGCGGCTGAATTGTGCAGTTGATTACCTGATCATGCTGTTTTGTAGGTGTAAGGAATCGCTCCAAAGGTCTGATCAAGCTAATTAGTAGCCAGGACATAGTTTCTGATCAAATTAGCAAGAAATTTCATCCCTTGTCTATGAACCTGGTATACACGTTGCCTTGGAATTTCTGTATTTCTTTTACCTATGTATCTATCTACCTAATCTACCAATTGCTTCAGAATATATATGTTTACATTTTGGATCTTGTTGGGAATTGATTACAACCCCAAAAGGAGAGAGAACTATTTAAGTTATTGCCAAGGAATATTTCCTTTTGTAAAGTTTTTATTCACTAGTGAATCTGCTTTTAGTATACATTTAACACATTACTGTGGGGAAATGGGATTTTACTACCAGGCACACCTGGTGCCTTCTCTGTTGTCTTCAGATTTTATAAGGTTTAGTTAGTCCCCACATAGCGATCTGATTGGATAGTTTCTTAAAAGTGCTTGAAATGGTAACTTTCAGACCCTTTGATGGGAGTTGTCCCGTGTGGCCCTGGGAAGGGCTGGTCTTGACGCTATCCGTTTGACCTCTTGAAAGACCAGGGTGCTTTCTGCAGGGATCTCATTTATGAAAACACAGTGGGTTTAAAAAAAAAAGAAAAGAAAATCTAAATCTCATGCCATATTTGAGGGCAACAAACCAATCACTGTTAGTAAGTTTCAAAAACTTCCAAATAAAAAATATGCACTATCTGAAAAAATTTATATACTTTCAGCCATGAAAACCACTTAAAAACTATGCTTCTGTTGTGGTTTTTAGACATTTTATTGGTTTTGGCTGAAAGATAAAATCTTTATCAGCAGGGTCATTTTGGCCCTGTGCTAGGGAACGGTGTAAGTAGAATTTGAGGAAAGGTTTACAGAGTCACATCCTTACAGATGCCTAACAATGAACAAGAGGCCAGGTTCCGTTCCCCAAGAGTCGCTAACTAAGCCAGTTGTTCAGTATGGACATAGGACAAACCATTCAGGCCAGTATGAGATACTTAGTTATGAAATTTGTATAATAATCTTCCAATTGTGCTTGCCATTTTCATTTTAACATATTAAACCAAATTCCTCCTGGTCCAACCTTTCATCAGATGAAGAAACAGAAACACCTGATTCTAGAAGACACAGGACCTGAGTCTCAGAAGGGACACCGTCTTCTCTGGGATTAAAGGCCAGGGTTTCCAGAAGGAAGCAACACTCAGCTCTTACAAGAGCAACAAGCGGTGGTTCAACTAGGTAAGCAGCCCGCTTCTAAGGCGAGGAGATGGGTAAACCATCACATCTTAACTCTAGGAGACCAAAGAGTCGGGAGGGAGGCTGATGAGGAGGATGAGTCCCCATTTATGTCTACTACAAACTGTAAAATGATAGTTTACCACTTGGAATATAGGTTGGGCTGAGATATATAAAGAAGTGAGTGCTTATAAAAGGCACCAAAAGTAAACATTTTAAAATAGGAAATGTTAACAGTGTTTACCTTTTGGATGTCCTGTGCTGTTTCTGAAAAATAAAAATTTTTTACGTTTGAGAATTAAAAATGTCTCTCACCCACAGATTAAACCAAATGAAACCCATGCCACCATGCCGACTCTGACTCACAGCAAGCTTACAGGACAGAGGAGACGGGCTCTTTAGGTTTTACAAGACGGTCAGTCTTCACAGGAGGGGCCAGACTCATCTTTCTCCAGTGAAGTGACTGGTGGATTGGATCCACCCACTTTACAGTTAGCAGCCTAACACTTAACCCACAGCATCACTGGGGATCTAATATTTTCTAGGAATTTTTCAGTGACTGCTAATAACTGAAGGGCAAAAAGCTTCTGGTGTGGCACTATAGATAAGCACTGGACTGCTAATTGCAAGGCTGGTAGTTCACACCCACCAGCCTCTCCTTTGGAAACCCTATACAACGTGGCTATGAATTAGAACCACCTCAATAGCACTTCACAACAAAAGGCTTCAGGGTTCTTTGTACTGGAAGGTATTTAGGTGTGATACTTCTCAATGATGAGTCCTGGTGTGGTACTGTAAGATAATCACTGGACTGCTAACTACAAGGTTGGCAGTTCAAATCCACCAGCTGTTCCACCAGTATACAGGGGCTCTATGAGTAGGAATTGACTCAAGGGCACTTAACAACAACAACAATTCTCAAGTACCAGTCAGTGATCCGATGCTACGCATATGTCAAACCACCTTACATGTGTCTGAATGGTAAGTTATCTTTTTCACCTCTGAAGGTTTGATTGATTATGTGGTCTCATCTTTAAAAACTGTTTAATGACAGAGACACACACAGGGTTGCTATGAGTCGGAACTGACTTGATGGCACTTTACAAAAAAGCATGAAGTAAAATGTGATCAAATCCTGCTCCACAAATCTTACCCCTTGAGGTAACCAGAGTCCCTAGGTGGTGTAAACGGTTAATGTGAATGGCTGTACATTTCGTTCCACCCATATGCACCTCTAAAGAAAGTCCTGTGTATGTATTTCTGAAAAATCAGCCACTGAAAATCCTAGGGAGTACACCTCTACTCTGACACCCCCAAGTCACCCATAGTTGGAGTAAACTCAATGGTAGGTAACTGGAGGGAACCACAGCGCGAGGTTTGACATTCACCTTTCTAGGTTCAGCATGTATGCCTGCGTGATGTGAACACAGCAGCGTAAAGCTGTTTTGTTTTTAAAATAAAACTGTAATAGGCAACATTGTCTTTTCTGCTAATTACATGTGGACATTCTTTTCAGTAAATAGATACTTCATTCTTTTTAACAGCTGCAGAACATTCCATTGCATGGATGCACAATTCATGTCATCCGTTCCCACTGGATGAGCATTTTTACAATGACTTTTTACAAATGTTGCACAGATGACACACATCCACAGAGCTAGGCACGCGTGGGGTGAGGACTTCGACACCAGAACATGATTAAACATCAAATACCTGGATCGGGGTGGGGGTGAGAACCACGCACATTTTACAGTTGGATGAGCAATACCAAATTTAACTCTAAAGGTTGAAGAAATTCACAACCCCACTAAGAGTACTGAAGAGTGCCCACTTTTCTGTATCACGTGAGCAAGTTCCCAGCTTTCTTGCCTCCAGCTAGCTATGTAAACATGTGACTTGTTGACTGCTAATATGGATGATATTTTGTTATATTGTTATATTTTGATATATTGCCACTTTACTGGCAATTTGTTTCTTCTCTTTTATGAAAAAACTCAGTTGTTCTCCCCCCCCTTTTTTTGATGTATGAACTTTCTTGATATAATAAGTGTATTTATCTTTCTGTATTTGTTATTTATGTTATAAATGATTTTATTTATGTCACATAGCATTACATTTTAATCAAGGGTCACTTGTACTTACAGAATTTAAGCTTACTATAATAAAATCTGCAATTCATCTGGTTTCATCTTTCTGTATAGTTAAACTTAGTGGCTATTGATAAGAATGAGATAAGAAAGGATATTTTCGTACTTACCACTGGTCTTCAAAACTTTATGTGATCTTGAAGAAGGTTCTGGGAGGAAAAATTAAGCCAGCATCATTTGTAAAACCGTATCATGATTTTTTTTATTAATCAGTGAATTACTTGCTTATTGACAAATTAATTGAGCTCCAGATATTCACAACCAAACTTACTTAACTCCCCACTGCTCAGAAATTCTTAGTAGCACGACATTTATTCTGTCAAAACAGTAGCATAAAAATAAAATCTTGGAATTCGTGGTCACATAACAGAAAAGCAAAATACTTCTTTACCAGTCTTATCAGTAGAACAACTTTCTTAGCTTTAACTGTCACATAAGCACTGGACTCCTAACCAAAAGGTTGATGGTTCAAACCCACCAGGCCCTTCTCAGAAACTCTATACAGGGTCGCTGTGAGTGAGAATCATCTGATCACTCAACAACAATATAAACTTATAATGTTCTAAGTGAAATGATGCCAGATCCCTCTACCAAGCTTCACACTTCACCCTTGCCCATCTATCTTCCTATATAAAAGGCACCCCTCACCCTCAGACTGTGCGAGTACTTCGTTTTACCCTGTGGACCTTCTCTTTCTCGGTTCTCCATCACCAGATTGACCCGTGTGATCCACATGGTTTTCACTGGCTGATTTTCAGAAGTAGATGACCAGGAGCTCTGCTAAAACGGATCAGCATCATAGCTCCACTGTAGAGATGGACACTTAGTCATGTTCTCTTTCCCATTAAACTATAAACTGTGTGCAAGCAGGTAAACTTATATTCTTTATCTTTGTTGTCATAGTCTTCATCACAACACAAGGCACAAAGAAGCAGTAAGTACTCAAATTAAACAAAACACATACGGGCCGTGTACTTCTTTGAGTCTGATTTAGCAAATATGTACTAACAATTTTGTCTGAATAATCAACAATTTTGTTTGAATAACAAAATACATCAATTTTGTTTGAATAACACATTTTCACTAGCAATAAAGGAGCTCTGGTAGCGTAGTGGTTACGAATTGGGCTGCGAACCTTAAGGTCAGTGGTTCGAAACTACCAGCCGCTCCATGGGAGAAAGATGAGGCTTTCTACTCCCGTAAAGATTTACACCCTTGGAAACCCTGTACAGGGTCGCTATGGGTTGGAACCGACTCGACAGCACTTAACAACAACAACAACAACAATAGATAGGGGTTAAGTATCTGCATGCTAAACAGTAAGTTGCTGTACAAAAGCAAAACTAGACTGTTATGATGTTTGACATTCAGTGGGAAATATTTAGAAGAAAGTTTTAAGACAAAAAAGTTTGCATCCCATCTTAAGACAGCAACAAATGTATTCAAACCGGCAGGAGCTCAAATCTAGAAAGAAAAGCCTTTTTGTCCAACTGAAAGTGACTTTTATTACTTGTTAGGTACTGTCAGGTAGGTGCTAACTCACGACAACTCTTACAACAGAATGAAACACTGCCTGGTCTTGTGCCATCCTCATCATCACTACTGCTTTTGAGTCCACTGCTGCAGCCACCATAGAAGTTCATCTTGTATCTTTCTCTTTTACACTGACCCTCTACTTTACCAAGCACCATGTCCTTATCCAAGGATTCGTCCCTCCTGATAATGTGTCACACGTTCATATTATCTTGAGATAAAGTCTTGTCACCCTGGCTGCACTCTGACTGCACTACATCCCAGGCAGTCCACAGGATGATGTTCTTTGCCAACATCATACTTCAAAAGCATCAATTCTTCTCTGGTCTTTCTTATCCATTGCCCAGCTTTCACCTGCAGATGAAGTCGCTGAAAATAAAGAGATCCTTTGCAGCAGATCTGCCCAATGCAATATGTTGTTTCCTTTCTTGACAGTGGCTTCTATGGGTATTGATTGCGTATCCAAGTAAAATGAAATCTTCAGTCTTCTCCGTTTCTCATGATATTGCTTGTTGGTCCAGTTGTGATTATTTTTGTTTCATGTTTAAGTGTAATCCATACTGATCTTCGATCGCCGTCAGTTAAGTGATTCAAGTCCTCTTTACTTTCAGTAAGCAAGGTGGTCTCATCTGGATAGCTCAGGTTGTTAACAAGTCGTCTTCTTCTAATCCAGATGCCACATTCTGCTTCATACAGTCCAGCTTCTCAGACTATTTCCTCAGCATACAGATTGAATAAGTATGGTGAAGGGATACAATCCTGAGGCACAGGTTTCCTGCTTTTAAACTCATTCTGTTCGAATGACTGCCTCGTGGTCTCTGTACGGGTTTCACAGATTCCTGTAATGGCTCTGTGCCCCTGTTTTGAGCAGATTTGATTTCTCCCTAATACCACAGGGTCGTAATCACACGCTACAACTGGAACATCAATTCTTTTTAGTAAACTGACTCTGTGTATTCTTTCCGTCTTCTTTTGGTGCTTCCTGCATTTGTCCAATAGTTTGCCCAAAGAATTCTTTAGTATTTCAACTTGAGGCACGGAGTATTTCTTCAGTTCCTTCATCTTGAGAAATGCTGAGTAGGATTTTTCTGTTAGGTTGCCTAAACTTTGTATCTTTGCACATTTCATTATAATCTTTTGTCTTCTTCGGTGGCCCTCTGAAACCTTCTGTTCAGCTCTTCTACTTCGTCATTTCTTCCTTTAGCTTCAGCTACTCTGTGTAGCATAGTGGTTATGAAAGGGGCTGCGAACCACAAGGTCAGCAGTTTGAAACTACCAGCTGTTCTGCAAGAGAAAGATGAGGCTTTCTGCTTCTGTAAAGATTTATAGCCTTAGAAACCCTGTTCAGGGTTGCTATGAGTCAGAACCTACTCCACAGCACATAACCACCACCCCCACTCTGTGTTTCAGGGTATCTTCTGAAATCCATTTTTGTCCTTTCTTTTTTTCCCTTTTTAATGACCATTTTGCTTTCTTCATGTATGATGTTCTTGATTAGTAGTCAATGAGTCAAATCTGTTCTTTTAGATGACCTCGAAATCCAGGTGGGATATAGTCAAGGTTGTACTTTGGCTCCTGTGGACTCGTCTGAATTTTCTTCAACTTGAATCTGCATATTAACAGTTGATGATGTGTGTTCTGTGAGCCGCCCCTGGCCTTGTTCTGACTGATGATACGGGGCTTCTCCATCACCTCTTTTCACAGATGGACTCAATTTGATTCCTGTGTATGTCACCAGGCCAGGGCCATGTATATAGTCAGCATCAAAGTTGTTGAAAAAAAGTATCTGCAAGGAATCAGTTGTTGGTCTTGCAAAATTCTATCATGTAATCTCTGACATCATTTCTATCACTGAGGCCATATTTTCCAACTACCGATCCTTCATCTTAGTTGTAAACTCTCACATTCCTACCACCTGTACTATCAACGCAGCTTGATTACATATCTGATCAATTACAGATGGCAGAAGTTGGTAAGTCTTCAATTTTCTTCGCCTTTCGTATTAGTAGTTGATTTGTAAAATTGAACAGTAATTGTACCAACTGGTCTTCCTTGTGGATATTATTTTATAGACAGCACTGTACTTCAGGATAGATCTTGAAATATTCTCTTTGACAATGAAGGTGATGCTGTTCCTCTTCACTGTAACATTCCCACAGTACACCGCGTGATTGTCTTCTTCAGAATGGCCGGTTATCAGTCCATTTCAGCTCAGGATATTCTCCAAGCATTCGATTTCCATTTTGTCCGTTTCCAATTTTCCTCGTTTACACTGTCTATATTATATATTCCATGGGCTCATTCCTAACACTTTTCTCAGTTTGAGTCATGCCACATCCGCAGAGGAAGGTCCAGGAACTTTTACTCCATCCACGTCTTTAAGGTGGACTCTATTTTGAGGAAGTAACTCTTCCCCAGTGGCATTCTGAGTGCCTTCCAACCTGAGGGGCTCAGCTTCTGTCCCTGTATGAGACAAGGCTTCCCGGCCAGTCAGGAGGCTTTCACTTGCTAGTGTTTTCAGAGGTAGATCAGCAGGCCCTCCACTGAAACCTGCCCACCGTGGGTGACCCTGCTGCTGGTATTTGAGAGACTGTTGGCACATCTTCCAGCATCGCAGCACCATGAGAGCCACCACAGTGCGACACACTGACAGCTGAGTGGTGGCTTCATTACTCGTCCCCAGAGCCATTCCATTCCTACTCACCAGATCTTCTCCTCAGCCGATATGGAGCAGAACCTTCTTTCGAACCACCAACTGCTTTAGACTCCCCATCAGGACTGTAACAAAAGCCCGGGTGGTCTGTGAAGACAACCAAATGCACTAGTGAGAATGGGGTGTCCTCTAGCTCCCAGAGAATGGTCACAACTCCTGTCCACTATCTGCTGATTTCTTCTTTGTCATAAGTTACTGAAACCACCTCTCTCTTTGTTAGCAGTGGGCCTGCCAGCCCTGTTTAGCAAGTCAATCTGTGCTCTCTCATTCTTGCTCTCTCTCGCCTTCTTTCCTCCCTCTGTGCCCACCTCTTTCACTCCTTAGACAAGTGAGCTGTAACCCTTACCCTTCCTGGAAAGTAGAAACATGCATGGTGCACACTGAGAATAACCTGACACACATGGGTCACAAATGCCACTGATACGGCAATCACCTACAGCTCAACTTTTTACCATTGCCCCTAACAGACTGATGAGTCATAGCAGACCCCTGTCTGGGTAAGACTGTATGGAGAACTCAGCCTAAGTGACCACTCCGGGAGGTATTTCATTCCGGCCTGGTGGTGCAGAGCCTAAAGCCCCTTCTGCCCCAATGGGAGTTGTCTTCCCATGCAGCAAGTCTATTCCACACAAACACTCCTTTAAGCATTTGATGAAAACTACAGATTCTCTCCCCAGAAAAGGATTTTCCTTTAATTTCAGACTTTCTCTCTTCCTATCATACCTAAGGGACACACAGGCTCTGGATTAGGAAACCCTGGTTCAATGTTAAGGTTCTGCAGTGTGGTTGCTGCTCATCTGCGTCCTGAGGTCTAAGGGGACCAATTTTAGGGCACAGGCATCCAACAGTGTTCTTCAAATTAGGGTTAGGCTCTTTAAGGGCATCTGCAGTTCAGAGTTTCAAGAATTATAAAGGCCACTATGTGCTTCTCTGATGTCAGAGGCAAAGTTACATGAATGGAGTCATTGGGGCCCATGGACTGGCCTGTCCTGCTCACACTCAGCCAAGTCTCAGCCAGGACTGGGCGCTGAGAGCACTGCCTCAGGCTAGACCGCTCTGGCCTGGGTGAAGGGCATGCCATACCAGTCAGTGTCCTGGAGGACTTGCCTGTAACCATGGCTACAGAGCCTGGGAGTGAGTCAGTCTTGGTGAGCTGAACAACAGCACAGACCTTTCCAGGAGCTCGGCTTCCTCATCTTTCCTCCCAGTGTGCACACACCCACCACAGCCTGGCCTGCTCTTCAGAGAGCTCTTAAAGCTGGGCACTTAGGGAACACAGGGAAATCAGCCTCAGCCTAGATCCCTGGTAGGGACCACCTGCCATCACTTCTCAGGATCTGTTGGATATGAAGTAGGGAATCACATCTACGTGTAACCCTATTGATGGCAAGTCAATTCTGACTCATGGCGACCCCGTGTGTTAGAGTGGAACTGTAATTTTTCTTGGCTGTAATTTTTACTGACGGAGATAGCCAGGACTTTCTCCCATGGCCCTGAAAGGTAGGTTCTAAATGCCAACTTTAGGCTAGTAGTTAAGTGCAAATTGTTTGTACCACACCTGGAGCTCTGAAGTCGAAGAGGAGATGATGAGGTTCATGGCTCTACTTGGCTGATTAAAAACAAACAAACAACAACCCACAAAAAACCAATTTTCACAATTGGCAGTATGGGTTGGTAAGGGAGCCAGAGTTTTACATTGGAGGAAAGAGTCCTCAAAAGTAACATATTTTGAACATTTTAGTAAAAGTGGAAATGTACCAGAAGAATGAGCTTCTGGTAGACGTAGCTGTTAGTGTTTACAGCCAGTGTTTTTGTTCTTTGTTCTGTTTCAGTAAGAAGAACCTGAGCAGGGGTGGGGAGCGTCAGGCCCACAGGCTGTATAAGGCTCACAAAATCATTTGGTCTGCTCCTACCAAGGCAACCGCAATTCCAGCCAGCACATTACAGCAGGCTATTTTTGAAGCGGATGATTCTGTATGGCCCATGAATATTGTTATAAATATCCAAATGGCCCTTGGTAGCAAAAGGTTCCCCACCCCTGCTCTAGAGGTTGGGAAGCGTGAGAGGTGCACCTTCTGTGTGGATGGCAGTGGGGAGTGGGGCAGAGGGCTGCTGAAATCACACCCTCCATGGCTGGGTGATGCAGGAACCGAGGTCTTTGGCCTGCCACTAAGTGCCCCACAGATTGACCCTCAGAAATCCATGTAGCCACAGGTTGGTATGTTAGGAAGGGATTATAATGTCGGCTTACTCTATCTGTTAAACAGCAAAGAAAGAGCTGTTACTTATTTATTTTACAATGGGAACTTTGATCAGCTCCAGGATAGAAAATATTATAGGTATGGGTGGAAAAGAACCCCTGAGTTGTATTAAGAAATCAGAACTTACGAACTGCATCCATTTCAAGCAATGCTTGCTTGGCCTGAAAGAGAGAAAGTATAGTTGTCATTACAATGACCTTTTTCTTCCATTTAAGCTGCTAGCATGAAAAAAGGTTTGACCTACCAGTGCTAATATAGATTTTACCTCACTTGAATAAGTGCATTTATAAAGGCTTCAAAAGACCAGGTTGTTAAGCAGAAATAGAGGATGACCACATCAGACCACAGAATGGAAGGTGACTACGTCATTCCATAATTGCCAAACCACCAAGAATGATGGCACAGGCAGGCTGACGCGTAACCTTAACCATGGCAGGCAGCGTCACTCTTACCTTCCATTTCAGCATTCACTGCTCCAAGATATGGGTCATTAATGCCAAAGAGCCAGGTAACAGACTGTCTACTGTAGTCGTACTAATGGTGGATAAGAGATGAGGTGTGCTGTATTTCTCTTAGGTGTCGATACCTAGTTCAGTGGGATTCAAACAGATGAATGCTCTACTGGGTAGTAGTTGTTGCAACATTGTTAAATGCCGTCGAGTCGATTCTGATCCATAGCAACCCTGTATAAGGTTTCCGAGAAGCAGCTGGTGAACTTGAATTGTAGTAGATGACACTTAATTGATGCTGTTGTTGTTATTGGTGGTGGTGTGTCATGGAGTCAGGTCGGACTCAGAGCGACCCTGCATAGGGTTTCTGAGGCTACAAATCTTTACGGGAGCAGAAGGCTCCATCTTTCTTTCATGGAACAGCTGGTAGTTTCACAGCACACCACCACCACCACCACCAATATAAAAATGTCCTAATCACACAGTTTCCACTAGGTGTCAGTCATGGACCATCACGAAATTAAAGGAATGGTCCTGATGTGGTGCTGTGGGTTAATGCGCCACACTGCCAAGCAGTTTGAACTGCAAGGTCGGCAGTTCAAGCTCACCAGTCACCTATAAGGTTGCTATGGATCAGCACCATCTCGATGGCACTTCACAACAACAAGGGGTTGGGAGCCCTGGTGTGGTGCTGCAGGATAATGCTCTGGACCGGAAGGTTGGATTGAACCTCAGGGTTGGCGGTTCGAACTCACCTGTACAGAAACCATGTACAGGGTCACCGTGAGTTAGAACCGACTTGATGGTACTTAAGAACAAACAAGGGGTTGGGAGGAACTAAAATGAATTCCTAACAGCTGGTACTGTGGGTTAGGCGGAGGGTTACTAACAACCAGGTAGGTGGTTCAAATCTCCCAATCTCTCCGTGGGTAAAGATGAGGTTGTCTGCCCCCATTAGGAGCGACAGGTCCAGAAACCCTATATAGGGTCACTATGAATTAGAATGGACTCGGTGGTGGTAGGGTTTTGGTTTTGTGTTTACAGCACTGGACCTGAATTTTTTCACATTTTAGGTTTCCTATTTTACATTTCTTACATTTCATGGAAATATATTTAGAAAGCCTCGAGAAAATAATTTTTAAAATAGTCTTTGAGGAATACTGTTAATAGGTTCAATTTAGTTAATAATACTGTTGGGTGCCACTGAGTTGATTCTAGCTCACTGCGACTCTACAGAAGACAGTAGAGCAGCCTGGCCCCATGGGCAGGGGAAGCCGCCAGGCCTTTTCTCCTGGTAGGCTCAAACTGCTAACCACTGACTTTTCAGTCACCAGCCACTGTGCCAATAGGACTCCTTAGTTAATAACCCCATGCAGAAAATTATTATAAAATATAGAAGAGAAAGTATACTAAAAACATATGTTCTCGTTGCTACTGTGTAAGACACTTTTTGCACAAACTGAAGCGGTTTGAGTCCTGACTCTGGCATGCATGAACTGCATAAATGTGGGTAATTTACTCAATGTCTCCCAGCCTCTGCTTTCATGTCTCCACATGGGAAGAGTAAGACCTGTCTCGTAAGGTGCTTTGCTGAGGTGAATTAAGACTATATATAAAGTTAGCACAGGGCATATGTATGCATATTATGTTATAGAATTTTTAGATTCTAAAAAGATCAGTGATGTGAGAAAAAAAAAGTAATTATATTGCGATGATAGTAATCATTTGGATATGTAAAGAAAAAACAGTCTAAAATACACATACCTAAAAAGACAGGTATGCAAGCTATTCTTGTTTTGCAATGGGCTGTAATTGTCTCTAAGAATCCCTTTAGCAGTTTGATTTTCCCAGGGGAAGATAAACAACAGATGGGGCCGGCCAAAAACACTGCCATTGCTCGGACGGGCATTCCAAGGCACACGGCCAGCAACCAAATGACTAACCACCAGGAAAACACAGTCACCTCCTTGCATGGGCTACTTGCATCTCACAACACCCGGATGCAATGAAACTCAGGCTTACATCAGTGAACACACCTATGCACATTCATTTCCTGGTACAAAGTCCCTGCTGACAACCTTGGAGAACAAGCTGCTAACACGTCCCAGCGCACACAGCCAAACGGGCTCTCTCCTTTCTTGGAAATCGCCATCCTTGAGTTTTTGCACTCAGTTCTCCAAGGTCCATGCCTGCTTTTGGCTCTACCTCCCTCTACCCCACCCTAGTATGGACCATTTCACCATCCACATGGGTAACCCATCACCACGCTGGCCATTTTACCTCTAAGTCTTCCACTTGGGAGAGCCTTATCAACTCCCAGAACCACACTCTTCTCAGGAGATCTAATTCCATCTCTCCAGGTTAACTCATGCTGAACAAGTTCTCTGCCTTAGTAAGACCAGCATTCCTTGAATCTGTTCCTATTACCCCATCTGTTTCACTCTCAGTCCAGGAATCAAGCCAGGTCATGGTCTACAAGTACCCTATCTTCTGCTGCCTGTCTGCCTCCCTACTCCAGCTCTTCTGATTCCCAGTGGTGGGTAACCAAAGTGAACCATGCTTCCTCAGCATTAGTTGCCAAGTTGTGGAGCACAAATCTGAAAATTATGCCATCCCCAGGATTCATGGTGTCTAGGTCCAGCTGTGTTTGCAGCCTTTCACGCATTATTTACTCAGCCACAGCCAAGTCCTAGTCCATATTCTCTGAACCAATGGTTCAGAGCCTTCCCACTTTCCCGCAGGCACCAACCCCGTCCCAGCTTCCTTCCTCTGCCGAGGACACCATCTTGAGTGAGTCAAGCGTTAACCCTCCACAAGTCCACTTCAGAGTTCCTCCACATTCTCTCGTCTCTCTTCCCTCCTGACTCAGGGAAGGTGACCCCAAGACTAACTTCTGTGCTTTTTCTTATGACTCCACCCCTTCCCGCCTCCCCAGGTCACACTCCAACACCCACCCCTTCTCTTCACTTGACTGTCTCCTGTTCCCCTCAGCTCTTCTTCACTTCGACACAGTCTTGCTTTGGTGTCACAGCTTGCTCCTTAAACTATCCCTTCTCCTATTCTAAACTTTATGTATATTTAAAAAAAAGTGTACGGCCAAGTCGGTCCCTTCTTATAAGCAACTTTCCTTCTCTTCAACCCTGTTGCCAGCCCTTCCTGTTTTGAATCTCTTACTCTCAGGAGTCACCTTCTCTGAGGTCTACAGCAGTATTTGGGATGCTACTCCATCCCCCCCACCCTCCAAGAGCTTCTCTCCTCCCTGTGCTGCCACAACACCTTTCTCCTCCGGCTTCCTTCTCTGGCTGCTCACCAAGCCCCTCACCCCTTTGCCAGTGGCATCGACTCACTGGGTCCTTCTTTCTTTCATGAATCTTTAGGGCCACCCTGTCAAATCGTAGGGTTTCCATGACTGCCCATGAGAAGACGGCCTCCAACCTGAATTTCCATGTCGGCCCGTGAATAGTGAGAGGCTATTGTCCTCATTCCTTCCTCCTCTGCAGCCCATCTCAGGGCTCCCACCACAGTGCTCAGGCTGCAAGCCCCTGCCCCATTGCTCAGAGCCACACTCTCCTCAGGCAGGTCTCTTTCCCTTTCCTCAGCCTCCACCTCCCAAATGGGTTTGTCTCTGCTCTGCTCTGCTCTGCTGCGGGGTCCTGAGGGCCATGCTCCTCCCTCCAGCTGTCCCAGTGGGCCCAGAGGCACAGGAAGATCATGCCAGTCCTCCCATAGCCCCTCAGCAGTTCCTAACGCCAGTGCCTTCCCCTCAGTGTGAGGGGGGCTTTTCTGTGTCAAACACAGTCTAGATGGTGCTGTGGATGTATTTAGATGTGACTAACATCCACTCCCAGTGGCCTTTAAGTAAAGCAGATTATTTTCCATAACGTGGTGGGCCTCATCCCGTCACTTGAAGGTTTTAAAGAGCAAAACCTGACGTTTCCCAAAGAAGGAAGAAGTTATGCCTTGAGACTACAGCACAGAAGCTCTGCAGTGTCCAGCCCTTTGTCCAAACCACAGGTTTCAGATTCTTCTGCTCCCACAGCTATATGAACCAATCCTTAAAATCGATTCATTTCAATGTATGTGTGTCCACATACATATGTGCGTCCACATACGTATGTCCAGTTAGATGCTGTTGTTAAGTGCTATGGAGTTGGTTCTGACTCATAGTGATCCTGAATAGGGTTTCTGAGGAGTGGCTGGAGGGTTTGAACTGTGGACCTTGAGGTTAGCAGTCCAGTGCTATAGCACCATACCTGGATGGGTCCCCTGGGCTGTTTCCCTAGAGCCCTGAGGGGTACACTTCTTGTCTGTACTGAAGCCCTGCACAGGCAGATGACTCCCCGCATCCCCAGCCTCCCTCAGGCCCTGAGAACTCAGCCCCAAGGTGAACACAGCGCCTGCACCCACATCTCTTCCTCTGTGTCTGTTCTGCTCCCTCGGCCTGTTTCTAGATGGAGGTAAAAGGCATCTTCTGTCTTACGCTGTGGCCCTTCCTCTCCTCACTCAGGTGTAATGGACTACGTATTTTTCCACAACACCTGGCTTTTATGCCTGGTGTTTCACCCTATCTAGCAGACAGCAAATGTTTACATGACCTGCTACCTCACTATAAATTCCTGGAAGGCTGAGAATGTGTCCTATCTTCCTCTCGTTCCCACAGAACCAAACATACCTTTATTCACAATAGATGCTCAGCATACCTTTGAATAATCCTAATAGCTCTTTCCTTTCTACTAGGTACTTGGGAAATTTCTTATAATCTTTTCCTCATTTTTGCTTGTTTCTTTCAAGCTCATTAAACTAAAACTAAAAACAAACAAAATTTGCCCGAAACCTCTTCAGAGTCTGCCATTACTGTTCATGGTTTCAGTATAAACCCCTGGGTTAACTGATCCCGCATGTCTCCTGTCTCCCAGGCTTCTTTTTTGGGAAACGAACACCTGCTCTTGTCAGGCTATCTTGCTAGGACTAAGATCCTTTCGATAGTGTCTGTTGGCTTCGGGGAATTACCTTTGCTGGAATCTTCGCCACATGGTTCTCCAGGATCAGTCTCTTTAGGTGCAACACCCACAGGCGCTTGTCTTGTTGGGATTTCGCCTAGCAGAAGTGGAGTGGGCATGTCAGACAACGCACACCTCGGCCCCTGGCCAGATGCAGACACTCCAGTGCCCTGGGACAAGTTTGGCAACTCTGGAAAGGTCACCTGGGGCCTTGAGCACTTTGGTTCCCAGGACCGGGACTGGGAAGGAGGCGGGGCCACTGCCATTACCTGAACGGTGTGCTGCAGCTTGGGGTTCTTGTAATGGAAGATGCTGAAGCTAAGCGGCTCCTTGGGGATCACTTCTACGAGCATGAGGTTACCACACTGGACAGAGAGAGCAGAGGGAGGGTGAGACGCAAACCAAACCGGCGCCTCAAGTCCTTACCCACGACCAGTGCTGGGACTTACCAGGATGTGGGCTTTGTATGTAAACATGTCATCTCTCTTCTTTGTGATGAGTAGCAGCTTGTCAAAGAGGAAGAGTGTCCGCTCGTTCTTGGCCCTCTGGATGCGGAAGGTTCCCTCGAGCACCAGTTCCCCGTAGCTGGTCAGGTCTGGCCCCTTCCAGTTCGTGAGCAAACTCTGTATCTCCTGAGAGAAGGGGGCGCCACAGGTGATTACGCAGAGGAGTCGGCGGAGCGTGCTGAACCTCAAGAATGACTTCTAATGATCTCGGACAGGGTCACACTGTCACTTAGGGGCTCACTGGGTGGCTGCCAGCATCAGCCCTGCTTTCCAGCAGCTCAGTTAAAGAGGCGGGTATGTGACCTGGATGACGTCTCTGGGTGGCGCACACAGCTAACATGCTCGGCTGCTAACTGAGGGGTGGGTGGTTCGAGGTCATCCAGAGGCACCTCCGAAGAAAAGACTGCGCGATCTCCTTCGGGAGTCAGCTACCGCACACCTGGCAGTACCCAGGTCTGCTCTGACACACAGGGTCATGCCATGATCCGGGCTCTACTCAATGGCAAGTGGTTTCCTGGAAGTGCTCACAGATGAGCACAGCCCAGTCCTGCGGCTCCCTGACACCCGGGGGGCTCACCTGTAAGCGGACCGCATGCTCGTGTTTCCGCTTCATGTCATTGATGTGCCAGGCCACCCGCTGCATCGTGTCGATGGCATCGAGCACCACATCATAGCCTTCTGTGTCCTTGTCAAGATGATTTTCTATTTCCTTCAGAAAAAAGAAAAGGGCTCCATTTCCCCCTCACATAACCCAAGAAGCAAATCACACCGTAAGCCCGCCACCAGCCCCACAAGCCACAAGATTTCAAAGGCAATCAGAAGTCGGTGTTAGATGAACCCAACCACTGTTCTTATCAGCTCTCAAGATCCATAAGTAGTGGCTGGATTTGAACGAACTTTCCATAAAACTCTGATTCACTCAGTTCACTGAACTGAGGTCTTTGACTTTTCCTTTGATGGCCATCCTATTGCCTGTTGTTGTTGTTAAGTGCCGTTGAGTCGATCCTGACCCACAGCGACCCTGTATAGGGTTTCCAAGGAGCAGCTGGTGAGCTTGAACCGCCGACCTTGCAGTTCAAATGGCTTTGCAGTCTGGCGCATTAACCCACAGCGCCACACCAGGGCTGTAATTAAGAGTTCAAACCTATCAGCCGCTCCATGGTAGAAAAGACCTAGCAATCTGCTTTTGTAAAGATTACAGCCTCAGAAAACCCTACGGGGACAGTTCTACTGTGTCTTACAGGGTTCCTATGAGTTGGAAGTGACTCGATGGCATACAACACATACATACGCATACAAGTCTAACATGGCATGTTTCACATAGACAGAGAATTGTTCAGACACTGATCCACAAATAATCCCACTTAGTCTCAGAGACTATTGTGTTGTTGTTGTTAAGTGCCACAGAGGTGTTGTTAAGCACCTCTGGATGAAGATCCACGGCACATGAAGATCTCCAAAGATGAACTCCCCAGGCAGACAGACAGCTAGGTGATATAAGCTCCTAAAAATTTAAAAGTGAACTGAGCAAATCTGAAATGCTGCACCCAAGTCAGAATCCTGGAGCCATTTAGACTGAGATGCACACCCCCTGCAGTGTGGCTGCGACACAGACGGCAGCACGCTGACCAAACACATGGAGCGTGCCAACAGTATCCTGGGTCTGACACATTACCGTGAGGTCTGACCGAGTGCTTGTGGGCCACAGGGAACGTGACCAGTGACGGGACTTGGACATGGACACAGCTCCGCTCTAGACACAGCCATATTGTCTTTCTCATAGAGCAACGTGACAAATCCTGCTTACAGACCGAAGCAGGCTTTGAATCACACTTTCTGTTTTTATAAACATCCTTCACCTTGAAAACTAAACTGATACAAGCAAGTCTATTTACCGCAGTGTGAGGCCAGGCATTAACTTGACCTCTACAGGGTTTTCTGTCTTTACTGCTGTCGTCTTTACAGATCTAGATCATGAGGTATTTCTTTATAGTGCTACTGAATGGGTTCAGACCACCAACTTTTCAGTTAGCATCTGAGAGCAAACTATTTGAACCTCCTAGGGACCTGTCATAAATGTCCTTCAAAAACCAGGGCGGAGGATTTGAGTGATGTATCTACCTGTTTCCAAAACCTCCTTGAATTCTGTTACAATTAACCAGTGGACACCAAGTCAATTCTGACTCACGGGGAGCCTGCGTGCATCAGAGCAGAAGTGTGCTCCACAGGGTTTTCAGTGGCTGACTTTTCCAAAGTAGATCACCAGGCTTTTCTTCCAGGTGCTTCTAGTTGGATTTGAATCTCTAACCTTTCAGTCAGTAACTGAACACATTAAGCATCAGCACCACCCTGGAACTCCTCTGGAGCCCTGGTGTCGTACTGTGGGATAAAGCACTAGACGTCAAGGTCGGTTTGAACCATGGGTTCGGTGGTTCAAACCCACCAGCCACTCCTCAGAAACCCTATACAGGGTCACTATGAGTTGGAACCGACTTGATGGCACTTAAAAACAACAATAACAACAATAACAAAGGACTCCTTTGTAAAAACAAATGGGAAATACTATAAAGAAAAGACATCCTGAAGGACGAAGGCCCGCTTAGAGACTGTTCACCACTTTGTCCATCTGTCTGTCCCTTTCCAGCCCCTCCTTTCTGCTCTCATGTCAAAGTCAGGCTAGGACACATCCCTTTCTGTCCCAAACGCCTACTGAATCTGGGCGGGTGAACATCAAACTGAACACAAAAAACAACTGGTTTTCATTGAGATGACAGCTTGCTGCCCAAAACAGTCCCTACCCTGTGTGCGGCTCCCTGAGGCCCTATCAGATTCAGGGCTAAAATCCATCTTTCCACTCGGTTCTTGTCAATGGGGCGGCGGGCCCAGCATATAAATATCTCTAATTCCTTCAAGCAGATTAGTCAGTTATAAAGTATGAGCTCGGAAAACAATTCCATATGTCCACTGCTTTTTCCAATCTTTTCTTACCCTTCAAACTTAATATACACAAACGGAATTCCCCGGCCCTGTGACACACTCGAGCCCCGTGACACACTCGAGCCCCGTGACACACTCGAGCCCTGTGACACACTTGAGCCCTGTGACACAGAAACTCACATGCAGCAGGAGGTGATACTTGAGTATCCGCTGGACGGGTTTCAAGAGATAGGAGCCCAGTGGCAAAGAGTGCTTCAGCGTCTCCTGGCGCTCCCTGAAGAACTTGGCCAGCATCTTGTTCCTCATGCACTCTGTTAGCACGGCCACTGATCTGCAGGAATCAGAAGACAGCGTTTAAAGATCCAGAGGGCAATGCTTAACATGGGTACTCAAGTTTCAAATACTAGTCTAAGTGCAGATGCCTCCAAACAGGCAGGGTAGCTACAGAGCTCTGGCTGGACCACACTACCTTTCGGCAAATTCCGAAAGGTATCCCTAGCTGGGTCATATGACTTCCACGAAGTATACACTTTTCTTCTGGAACATTCAGCCCCCCTCCCCCATGCCAGGGGACAGAACATGGCTAAGGGGTCTGAGTTGGATTTCAGCCGCAAGCTGCCCCGAGCTGGGTGTTTCTGTGCAGGGCTCACACTGCAATCTGTAGCCCATTTCCACGGTTAGCTTGCATACAGTTGGTGCTCTTGCACTAAGAAAAAGCAACTGCTTTTGTCAGCAGAGAGGCAGCGAGGTTCAGTGGACTCCTAGCCAATGCATACCCACAACTGTCTGTCTGTCTGTCAGTGGAGTCTTGGTATGCGGCTTCCAGGTGTAGAAGGATCAGGAAGAAAGGCCTGATGATCCAGGGCTGAAAAGCATCCAGTGAAAACCCTATGGGTCACAGTGGTGGGATCTGCAACTGAGGGTGAGGAGGGCACAAGACTGGGCATGGGACCGTCATGATTGGGGGGCCGACGGGATGACTGCTAAGAACTTCTCAGGAGACGCAGCTCCCTGCTTGTCACCTCTGTGCAATGCACCCAGAGCGCACCCTTCTGTGGTGGTCCTCCTTACAGAGCCCTTCCACAGAGCTGACCCCTTTGCACCTCCAAGTGGTTCTCTTCGTTTTAAGTCCGACTTCTGACAAGGCGACACGGGTTCGTGTCTTAGGCGGCATGCCTCATTCAGTGAGCGCACCTCCCCATCCCAGCTCTCCCGCAGGCAGAGAGCACCGTAAGAGAACGGGTCAAGTACAAGCTAGTGTGCTAGTGTTCAAAGACACCCATAAATTACAGTCTTATGGTCTTCACAACTTGGGAGGAAGGAGGTGGAAATCATTGCAACCCCTATCTCCTCAAGCTGGTAACACATTTTCAGGATTCATTGAGAAAATCAGACAGAGCCAAACAATACTACAACCCCGGTTAAGCACTGGGCTATTAACTGAAAGGTCAGTGGTTTGAATCCAGCAGCCACTGCCTGGGAGTTAGATGACACTGAGGCTGTGTGCGGCTGTGCAGACTTACAGCCTCAGGAACCTCTGGAGCGGTTCTACTCTGACCTAGAGGGTCAGTGTGAGCCTGAACTGACCCGACAGTAGTGGGGATAGGAAGGAAGCTGAGGGCAAGCCTCATAATTAAGTCACTACAATCCATTGGCGCCCATCTGTTCTGAGAATTATCTGCTCAAATGGATTTACTTCTCTCCAGTTTAGATGTCAAAACTCTTCTCTGTGGAAGGTCCTTCCTTCACCATGGAACCTAGGAACGTTCCTATGGCTCTCTAGGTCCAGTCAGCTGCCCAGCACTCCTCTGGTTGTCTGCAGGCAAGAGCCCTGGCCCAAGAATGGTCACAGACAAGGAGCCCTCCATTAAAAGAGCTCAGGTTCTCAGGAGAAGCTTCCAGAGAGCTTGGAGGCATCTGAGGACAATGCACTGACCTTCTTTATGCCCCTCTGGGTAAACAAGAGAGGCCTGGGCTGCTTCAAAGTGGAGTCCCTGGGGCGTGACTAGTATGAAGAGGTGACCATTTGTCAAGAAGGCTGACATTTAATACCACCACCCCCAGATTCCAAGGGGAAGGCAAACTGTCAGATGGGCTGCCACACCTGGCTCTCCAGGTGAGGAGAGCTCGGCCTCAGAGAACAAACTGATAGGAGACAAGAGAGCAAAAGAAAACACTTTCCTGAGAACATGGAGACCATATTCTCACGCAAGAACCCAGCAAATGTGCTTCCATGCATGTCTCTGCTAACACACATTTTTTTACATCTCAGAAAACAACAACAAAAACCAGTTGCCCTTGAATCGATTCTGACTCCCACAACCCCACGTGTGTCTGAAGAGAACGGTTTTCAATGGCTCATTTCTGGAAGCAGGTCACCAGGCCTTTCTTCTGATGTGCATCTTGGTGGACTCAAGCTTCCAACCTTCTGGAAGTATAAGAGCAGTAACTGCTTACACTACCCACAGGGTCCTCACATGTAGGGGAAACATACAATTTCCTCCGGTCACTGCCCGACACTCCTCACTGGGTGGGTCTCTTGAATGCTGTACCTACTGCGTCTTCAGCTCTGTCACAGTTTCTGGGTGTGCCCCCAGGAACCTGTCCTGATTGGTAAGCTCTCCCCCTCATGTGTGATTCCACAGTTGCACTGGGCTGAGCTCCAACCCTCAAGAGAATATGAACTGTGTGAAGTCCAGGGATGTATTTGCTATTTCCTATCCACAGGCAGCATGTTTGGAGCAGGACCCTAAGCATGGTCATGTTGTTGCTGTTAAGATGAGTCCTGCTCTGTAGGACTTTCAAGGCTGTGACCTTTGAGGGGTGATCCACAAGCCTGGCATCTGTGGCATCTCTGGATGGGTTTGAACTGTTAACTTAGTAGCTGAGTGCTTAATCATTTGAAACCAAAACCAAACCCTGTGGTCACTGAGTCAATTCTGACTTACAGTGACCCTCTAAGATAGGGTAGGTACTGCTCCCTCGGGCTTCTGAAACCCTAAACATTGATGGAAGCAGACTGCTTCATCTTTTACATTACGAGTGGCTGGTGGGTTTGAACCACCGATCTTTAGGTTCACAACCCAAAGTTTAATCCTGGGACCGTGACTGTTGATGTTAAGTGCTATCTGGTCAATTCTGACCTATTGCGACCCTGTACGGGGTGCTTTCTGAGGAGCAGCTGGCTGTTTGCAGTCCAGTGCTGACCCTACTGCGCCACACCAGGAGGACAGGCTCTTACAAAAGCTCTTGTGCAAACGATGCGACCATTCCCCAACCTTGGAGAAGGCCAGCCTAGAAAAAGGTGCTTTTATTTTGTATTTTCCTTTCTTAGTAAATAAAAAAAATCTTCTAAATTTGAAGTTTTGAAAGTTTACACTAAGAAGGCACTTCTTCAAATGATGTTTTAATAATGAAATCGACATCAATATAATCCCCCTACAAGCCCTTTTCATGTCTCAGAGTCTGATAATTGGATCCAGAAATGTGTTGATTCCTCAGAATTTGAACGTTTTCCCCTTTCTCTCAGGAAGAGATTTTGTGGTGAAGTTGAGAGCTGACTCTGATTTCTCTGGATTAGGGTGTGGTATTTGGTCCATGTGAGACTTAGTTAAAGTCTACATTAATTTCCTGATATGTCTACATATAAAGGCACAGTGCTAATTGTATTCATCAACGACTTTTTTTTTTTTTTTTTTTTCCAAAGAAAAGCCTAGGAAATGCATAGCTGATCATCAACCAAATCATGCAGGCCTTCAGAGGAGCCCAAACTCCTTCCATGGAAAGTATTCTGCCATCAGGGACTCTGAGCCTGGAGTCTCTGGGTGGCACAAATGGTTAATGTGATTACGTTGAATCAAAAGGTCTGAGTTCACCTGGAGGAGCCACCAAAGAAAGGCCTGGTGATCCACGTCTAAGAAACCAGTCACTGGAAACTCTGCTCTGACACCCATGGGGGGAACACGTGCTGGAGCCAACTCGGAGACAAGTGGTGAAATCTGGGCCTCGGGGTTCAGGGGCCGTTTCATGGGAACTGGGTTCTCAGGGTGGTCCCTCAGCAGGGGTCTCCCATTGGCTCTCCTCACCAAGGCTCAGTCTGCTTGCTCCTCTTCTGGGTAGACCCCACCACCCACTTCATCTTTAGGGACTTTTCTCATGAAGACTGGCTACACAAGGACAAACTCGCCCCAGCCTCCTTCTGGCCTGCTCCCAAACATTATAACTCAAGTCTTGCTAATCAAGAGGGGAAACAGTAAAAAGAGATGGCCATGTGGTGGGGGGTTTGGAAACTCTACAGGATGTAACAGCATGAGGTATGAGGCTGGGGAAATCGAGGCTCCCATCTTAGCTTGGCCATTCATCAGCTATGTGACCCTGGTAAAATCACCAAAACCCTGGAGTCTTGGTTTCTTCATGCATAAAATGGGGACGTTGTGGAAGTAGTTAGCAATGGGCACTTTCTGTGAACTGACTAGGTGCCAGGTTTTCCTTAAGCCAATAATGTCTCAGGACTGCAGGCAAAGGTAAATCCCACTGCATTTTGTATTTATAGCTCAATGCTTAGGCTTCAATACTACTCAGTAGATGTCTTCTGGAGAAAAATTAATACCTACAGTTGTGGTCCATGGTTTGAGACCCAACTCTCTTGCTCAGCTTGAGACTGTGCACCTTAACTGTCTTCCTGCCACCCATTCTCGGGGTGAGCAAAACGGAAGTAAACATCCAAGGAAAGCAGCATGCATTCTCTTTGCTGAAACAGGTTCACAGTCACCTTTCCCTTCTCTTAGCTCTACAAAGCTCGGGGAGCAGAAACAACTGTGGCCTGTTTTCTCCAGCTAGATTCTACAGACTCGTTAGCAATCAAGCAAACAAACAACAAGAGAAACCAACTACCATCAGGTCGATTCCCACTCAGGGTGACCCCATCTGTGCAGAGCAGAACTCACTCCATGGGGTTTTCCATATAGTGACCTTTGGTGCCTCTGGGTGGGTTCAAACAGCCAAGCTTTCAGTGAGTAGTTGAGTAATGAACCCAGTGCACAGCCCAGAGACCCAAATTCTTACAAATGCGGTGCATACAGAAAAAGGACTTACAGGCAAATGTAACCAGTTTACTGAGTTCTCCATAAAGACACCTCGGAATGTCCTACACTGCCATTCTTGTTCACAAGCCCTGCTGGGAGGACCAGGGTCTATAGGGATCAGTAGCTGCATACCTGTAGTCCTTTCTCCATGTGCCAGGTTGAGAAATGCTCTCTTAAGAACAGAACCACATTTTTGCAATTCCCTAATAGTATTCTACACAGTGTCATGTATACACAACTAAGAGCCCCACAGATTGGATGGACCAATTTGAAACATTATGAAAATGGACAAAAGTGTCCGTCCATTTTCCATACCTTGGGTAGTTGGTGCAATACTGTGTATAGATGTGGAACTCTTCACTCTGCAAGGACACAAAAAGACGTTCATGAGCAAAAACACACAGATATCAACATCCACCTAAAAACAAGAAAAAGAAATTGCATTCGTGCCTTTAAATGTGTTGCTCTAAGCACAGGGCCTGCTCCTGGATTTGTTTATCCTGAGACTTTACATACACTTGAACTTATTTGAGCTCAGTCCTCATTGTGTCACAGTGAACCGGAGGCATGTATGGAGACACAAATAAATGGTGAGTCCCAAGATGCTGAGTTCCAAGGTGCGACACAGAAACGGATCATTTAAACCTCACCGTGTGGTGAGGACCCTGTTGGAAGTCTGCATGTCAGTCTCCTTGCCCATCATCTGCCCACCTTTGACACTGGTCAGCCACTCTGTGTCCTTGGAGATGGGACTGAGGTTTTATGTCTCTTTCAAAGGGCATTCTTTGAGCTCCCAGGCTAAGCCAACTGCTCTTACTCTGGGTTTCCAGAACACCTACTACTTGCGACTCCTGTGTAGTTGTTATTAAGTGCTGTCGAGTCATTACCAAATACTAGTGACATTGGTTTGGTGATGTGGTATAATGCACTGGACCGCAAAGTCGGTTATAACTGCAAGGTCAGTGGTTCAAACGTACCAGTCACTCCTTGGAAACCCTATACAGGGTTGTTACGAGTTGGAGCTGACTTGAAGGCATTAACAACAACAGTGACATTTTCGGCTTCTTGGTTTATGTCCGACTCGAGACAGTTGAGTTCCTTCAGGGTAGGGGCCATAATGTGCTTATTAGGCACAGAATGTGAGCTCTCCTACTCACTGAACACCGAGGGCAGGACGCATGTCTACTCATCTGTACACACCCAGCAGGGCCTCAAGACCTACATTCAAAACCGTCTGACTAACTAATGTGGGGTGCTTGCATTTTGTTATAACCATATTCCCAGCTCCCTCGCATCTCTTTTGATTTGTGTGGCTGTCTTAGTCTTTCAGATGCCTAATCATCATATCAAGTTTTGGGAACTATTAAATCAGTATTTTTTGCTGGTAAAGGGTACGTTTCATAAAGGGCAAGATCGTGACTGCCATGCAAGTAAAAAATGCACATTGTCAAAGACTGTATTTAACCTGTCAGTAAATGAGGAATTAAGATACTACAACTGACTCAAAGGAGAAAGAAAAGTACCACATTTCTATAGGCCGATCAGGAATGCTAGAATGAATGTACAAATAGATACAAAATTGGCTTTTTCCATGAAGATGGTTGGGTAAGGCAATCCATGTGGTCTCAATGGCACAGAATTCATTTGTATTTGTGTGGCTAAGGACCATGTGCACTGCCATCGCTAACCTCTAAACTTACTGAGTCACACAATGAGTCAAAGACAATGATAGGTGCAGAGAATCCATATGGAAGAAGGAACTGGAAGATGCCTAATTTTCTGTTGGAGACACCCTGTAATCTTTCTGGTGGATTTCAGTCTGTTACAATGTATCAAGACATGGCCAAAGGACAAGTTCATAGAGCTGCACAGCCGAGTTAGGGGAAGCTAGCCTTAGATTCTTCACTGTAACACTGCCCATCACAATAAGTAAACCCAAACCAAGAAATTACTAGCGCTTTCAAAACCTAACATGAAACTCTATTTTGTAAAAGAGCTGCAGACTCTTTTAAAGGTCTTTCTGCTTGTTCTGTCATCCTCCTCCCTTTCACTTTTTAAATGACTTACACCATATGAAATGTGACTTCCAAGATAGGGCCTATTTTTAGGGTAACTTTGGTGTGGAGCTGTAGGGTAAGCACTTGACCGCATTGTCAGTTTGAACTGCAAGATTGGTGGTTCAAATCCACCAGGAAAACCTAGACAGGGTTTGTTATGAGTCAGAACCGACTTAATAGCACTTAACACCAACAATTCATTTTTTTCCCTGAATTTAAAGAAACTTCTACTTCTCTACTTTTCTTAGGATTCCTTTTGTGAAACTCAACTAGGAGAAGATGCAAAACTCTTTACTAAAGGGAAGTTCCAAACATACAAAGGGGCTTCAAGAAGTCTTTAGGAAATCAGAGTGAAGAGAGAACGGACTTTCTCCACCAATTTTTGAAACGCGCAGTATATAAAAGTAGAGAGGATGGAATAATGAACTCCTGGGTCTCTTTCATCCGGCCTCAATATTCAGTCATGCACTATCTGTAGCCTACCTCTTCTCCTGCTCCCCCCGCCACTGAGAAGCAAATTCTAAACCCTGTATGTAGTATCTAGCATGTAAGTATCTAACATGTAGTACCTAGCATGTAGTATCCAGTATCTAGCATGTTGTTGTTGTTGTAATTATGTGTTGTGGAGTCGGTTCCCACTCACAGTGACCCAGTACAGGGTTTCCGAGGCTGTAAATCTTTACGGGAGCAGAAAGCCTCATCTTTTTCCAGTGGAACAGCTGGTAGTTTCGAACTGCTGACCTTATGGCTCGCGGCCAGATTCGTAACCACTACGCTAGCAGAGCTCCTCATCTAGTATGTAGTATCTAGCATATGTTATGTAGTGTCTAGTATGTAGGAGTCCTGGTGTGGCATTGTGGGTTAATGTGCCAGACTGCAAAGCCGTTTGAACTGCAAGGTTGGTGGTTCAAGCTCACCAGCTGCTCCTTGGAAACCCTATACAGGGTTGTTATGCGTCGGAACCGACTCGACGGCACTTCACAACAACAAATTTAGTATGTAACTGTTTTATGCACTGGATGGCACCACTGCACAAGGTGTTGCAAATCCTAAAACCCTATACCTGTGTCTGTAATCCCATTTGGGACTAGGTTTTCTTTGTTATACTAATGAGTATCTGTATATTTGATTAAGTGCTGCTGAGTCACTTATGACCCATAGCCACCCTGTATAGGATTTTCAAGGAGCAGCTGGTGAGCTTGAACCGCCGACCTTGTGGCTCAAAGTGACTTTGTAGTCCAGCGCATTAACCCACAGCGCTACACCAGGACTCTGAGTGTCTGTACAGGGTCTGTTTCAAGTCCTCCACTTGTGATATAAGTAGCACTGGTGGCACAGTGAGTTAACGATAAAGAGGTCTGCTTCGGTAAAGACTGACAGTCTCCGAAACCCAAAGGGGCACTTCTACTCAGTCCTACAGGGTGGGTACTTCATTCTAATTGGATTAACTATCAACACTCGTGGAAGCAGCAGTCAAGAGATCAGGCGATGTATTGCATTGGGCAAATCTGCTGCACAGGAACTTTTTAAAGTGTTGAAGAGCAGAGATGTCAGCTTGAGGACTAAGGTGCGCCTGACCCAAGCCATGGTATTTTCAATAACCTCATATGGATGCGAAAGCTGGACAGTGAATAAGGAAGATCGTAGAAGAATTGATGCCTTTGAGTTGTGGTGTTGGAGGAGAATACTGAGAGTGCCATGGACTGCCAAAAGAACCAATAGATCTGTTTTGGAAGAAGTGCAGCCAGAGTGCTCCTTGGAGGCCAAGATGGCTAAGCTTCGTTTCTCATACTTTGGACACATTGTCCGGAGAGAACAGTTGCTGGAGAAGGATGTCATGCTGGGTAAGGTGGAGGGTCAGAGAAAAAGAGGAAGACCCCTAACGAGATGGATTGGCCAGTTGGCATCATTGATGGACTCAAGTGTAGCAGTGATAGTGAGGTTGGCCCCGGATCGGTCATTGTTTCGTTCTGCTGTGCATGGGGTCGCTATGAGTTGGTTCCGACTCAATGGCACCTGACAACAACAACAACAACAACAACAACAACAGGGTGGTTAGGAATCTGATTTGACTCGAGGGCAGTGGGTTTGGGATTCTGAGATATAAAAGAGCACTTTCGGCATAAAGGAGAACAGACCCAGGGCGAAGACCAACACTCTCTGAAGACAACAGAGGTGGACCAGAGGACAAGCCCCCAAACTCCAAGATTGACCAGCTGGAGAAGTTGAGACTAGGATCCCCCCAGAGCGGACAGAGCCTGAGAGATGGTGCCCCGAATTCAGACTTCCAGCTTCTTAGATGTGAGAAAATAGATCTCTATTTCTTAAAGACACCCACTTGGGGTATTTCTGTTCAAGCACTATTAAGAAACAAAGTGTGACCCTGACCTCGACACCCTGACCCCACTTAATGATTCCTTGGCATCATGAAGCTTCACACCAGTCAGGAGCCACATTTTTCATTTTCTTTCCATTTTTCAAATAGTTTGCTTGTTTGACTTGGAATCTAAATGAGGTCCATATGCAACTGATGGATGTATCTTTTTAAAGTCATTTAATCCTCTAAGTCCCCACTTTTTTTTTCTTTGCAATTTAGAAGTTTGTCCTGTTTTACTATACTTATTTCCACCCGCCTCCCAACCCATTAAAAAAAAAAAAAGAAGTCTATCTTACAGTTTCCCACAGGCTGTTGTTTGGACCACAACCCTCAGGTTTTCTTTTCGGTGGCCCAGACCCCTATAATCCTTGTAGGTTTCTAGCTACACCGAGAGGCCCAACCAGATTCCGCTCCAGAACTGGGCACACACACGTCACTGGTGGTATTACACACTCATGAGGAAGCCAGAGGCTTGCTTGGCTCCCTTTTTTGGGATGTTATTAGACACTGGTAATTATTGCCTAAAACCCACTGCCAAGTTGGTTCTGACTTATGGTAGTGGTGTTGGTTATATGCCGTGGGGTTGGTTCCAACTCACAGTGACCCTGCACAGGGTTTCCAAGGCTGTAAGTCTTTGCGGGAGCAGAAAGCCTCATCTTTCTCCTGCAGAATGGCTGGTAGTTTTGAACTGCTGACCTTGAGGTTAGCAGCCCGACTCATAACCACTATGCCGCCTTAGCTCCTTGATTCCGACTCACAGCAACCCTATATATAGTTCCCAAGATTGTAAATTTTAGTGGGAGCAGAAAGTTTCATTTTTCTGGTGGGTTTGAACCATTGACCTTGTGGTTAGCAGTCTAGTGCTTATCCTGCAGCACCATGAGGTACCTGTTCTTGTTGTTAAGTACTGTTAAGTCAGTTCTGACTC